ACACACACACACACACACACACACACACACACACACACACACAGCTTAGCACTAATTCTCCAGCAGCTGGATGTTTGCTGGTTTCTAATCTGCTGCCATTTCTCTGATCCGCTCACAGCTGCACTTCGACACTCGCGAGGACTCCATCGATGTCAGAAGCTCCGCCCTAAGCAAGATATTTCCAGTTATTACATCATAAGTGCATCGTTTCTGTCAGCACGACCACCAAAAGGTCTCATGCAGCGAGTTTAGCTTTTACTCTAAGTTTATTTTGATCACTTTCACTGTTAGTTTAGGTCTTGGTGTTTGTCGGGGGTCTGTGATCTCGCTAACAGGTAACACAGGTGTTTGACTCACACTCATCAATCTTGATATGCAAATACACAAAGCCTCATCAGACCAGCTGTGCGTCCAGCTGTGCAGCAGTTTACCACACAGAGAGACTAAAATGGTTCCACTTAGTTGTGTTTCTCCCCCCAAAATCAAATCATTATTATAATCATTAATGCCATGAAGTGTTGAATTAGGACCCAACTTGCAAGAAGATGGAAACGATGCAAGAACACGATGAGCAGCGATGAGGGGACGACAACGCTGCATGTGCACAGGAGCAATCAGGGGAGGTGGACACAGCTGGGAAACCGAGGCACAGGTGATAATCACAGAACATGAGCCAGGAGGGCAGGTACGGCTAAACACGAGAGATAAATGATTCCTCAGATCAGACGTGAGACGCAATAACTAAACATGGAGGCAGACGTGCAGGAAAGTAGAAGCGGCACACGATGTGGTGCGGCGTCTGCAGACATCAGGTTTTTCTTTAAACATTTTCCTTGTGGCGAAGCCTCAAGTGGAGCCACAGGTGTAGTCCTTTCTGCTGCTCCGCCCCTGGGTGGAGTTTCTCCCTGCACCTGCCCGTTAATCAGCTGTTAATCAGCTGTTAATCAGCTGTGTGGAAGCTGCAACGCTTCTCTGCCAGAGCATCGTTGCTGTGACCGTACTCGCCTGCCTGCGCGCTTTTATTTGATTGTTTTTGACACAAATATTATCACTTATGCTTCGGTGACCCCAGATCTGTTTCATCGTCTAGGTTTGGTCTTTAGTTTATGTCGGCTACAGTGACCTTGTCCTCATGTACGGTATATTCCACACAATGCTAACAGGAAGTCAGCAGCACAG